AGAGAAAGAGAAAGAGAAAGAGAAAGAGAAAGAGAAAGAGAAAGAGAAAGAGAAAGAGAAAGAGAAAGAGAAAGAGAAAGAGAAAGAGAAAGAGAAAGAAAAGAGGCTCCCGCAAAGCCCAACCCACCACTGTGAGAACAGGAAAAGACCCACAGGACCCTGTCCAGCCCCGGTACTGGTACACCTGGGTGGGACACAGAGCCACTGTGCAGGAAAGGACGCCTTCCATTATTATCCACAATTCGCCTGACACTTAGATGTGGGAAATCTTGACAAATATATCACAGCAATAAAAAGCACAAATTTGAAAAACTGCCAGAACAGGGTACCTGCTCTGGAGGTTTGCTTTTACTGTCGGCTTTAGAGTTTGTTTGCTTTGCTTTGCTTTGCTTTGCTTTGCTTTGCTTTGCTTTGCTTTGCTTTGCTCTGCTCTGCTCTGCTGCCGAGGCTGTGTGCGAGTCTGGGAGAGGCAGCGAGGGATCAGTGTCTGCCTCTCCTGCCAGAGCCTCATTACAGAGCCAGACACTGTGTATCTCCCTGGAGGAGGAGAAAAGCATCAAGGGCTAGGGGATCTGTGTCCTGTAAGGAAGAAGCTTTACTCTCGCCAAGTGTTATTAATTGATGGCAGGGATTTTAAAAGCAAAAGAGCACTATCAATTCTAGTGCGTCAAGTTTTACTGCCTTAAATATAAGGGCAATTTCTTTCACTATTTGCGTCTCGTGTAAATATATTACGTAACTCACATAGCTACAACACTATAGGCTAAATTTCTAATATGAAACTTTCTGATTTGTCAAAATGTTAAAATTTGAGCAATTCATAAAACACACAACTGCTCGAACTATGAACGAGCCGCTCTTACCATTGCGTAGCATCCGTCAGTTGTCAAGATCAAAACATCGATCGGAGACGTGTGGTTGGCGACACAAATGCCCCCCTTCTGAGGCCGGTACTGCCTGCGATCACAAACAGTGATAAACACCAAACCCTGGTAAATGGCCAAGAGTTTGCAGAGCAGCATGTAGAGACTCATCCTTTTGAGTATATTTTTTTATTAAGTTAGGAGGACCATGGATGCCTCTTTACAAGGTTATCCAATGGATGCTGAGGGTAAGAGAAAGGGCCTATGACTTTCCCTTTATAATTCATAGGTGTGGGGGGCTGCGGATATAATTCAGCAACACAGTGCCTGCAGGCAGGCGTGAGGTTGTGAGTTCAATTCCTTGTACCAAAAAACCATATATATCAATATATCATAGACTTTATTGGATCTTAAAATTTTTCATATTTTGACCTTCACAAGCATCACTGTTAGTGGCTTCCTGGACACCCCAAAAAAGTTAGCGCAGCCTCTTCCTTCTTATCTCCCTAGAGCTGAGTCTGGCAAACCAGTCTTTTCCAGGGACAGAGTGAACACTTCAGGCTCTAAGGGCCAGACAGGCTCTGTCACACCTGCTGGATGCGCCCTATGGCCCTGACAGTCACAGATGTTATGCAAAGGAAGGAGCTGGGCTGTGTTCCAACAAACTGCTTACGGAAGAGTCAGATTTGGCCCTGGGCTGGTGGAACAGTTTGCCTACCCCTGCCGTTGATCTAAACCAGAACCCGACACCACTAAAGCAAAAGGAGCTTTGCGTGGGCCCACACAGCCAAGGCACCCAGTCCATAAGGGCTTTGGCATATTCTCCTTGGAACCAGAAGCATTTCACTAGTGAGTTATGAAACCCTTGTAACCATTAAAGTGCTATCTCTACACTTAAAATTTTAAGGGTCTTCTTATATCGGTAACACACGGTGAGGCCAAATGATAAAATGTTTCCCTTCGACAAATGAGACAGAAAGACTCATTCAGCAAAAAACAGACATTTTTCCTAGAACTTCTGTCTGGTCTTCTTGAGATAGGATCTCACTCTGTAGTTCAGGCAGACCTGAAACTATGTAGCCGAGGCTGGCCTCAAACTGGTGGTGATCCTCCTGCTTCAGCGTCTCGGGTGCTGGGATTACAGGTGTGTGTCACCACGCCTGGCTCCCTAGAACTTTTTCTAAAAAATGGTATTTTATAAAATAAAATTGAATTAACAGAAAAGTAATTCAAGCTGGGTACAGTGGGGCACACCTATAATCCCAGTACTGGGGAAGCTGAGGCAGGAGGATTGCAGCAAGTTTGAGGCTAGTTTGAACTACATAGTGAGAATGTATTCAAAAAAACAAGGGAAAAAAAAAATAATAATTCAAGAGAAACCAAAATCACTTTTACTTAGCTAATATAGTACGTCCCTTAACTGCCTTTATTTCTCTATTCAGGGGTGAGAACAGCAGAATGTAGTATTCTACAGATCTGTTCTAGAATTTTACAAGTGGCAAGGCTGACATTAGAAAGCCAGCCCCAGACTCCCAGACTTCACCACACTGCAGGCTACAAACTTCATTTTTAAAACCAGAAGTTGCGGGCCGGGCGTGGTGGCGCACGCCTGTAATCCCAGCACTCGGGAGGCTGAGGCAGGAGGATCATTGCGAGTTTGAGATCGGCCTGGGCTACAAAGTGAGCTCAAGGCCAGCCTAAAATGCATAGCAAGACCCTGTCTCAAAAAGACAAAGAAAAGAAAAAAATAACACAGGAAGTTGCAAACCTAACTTCGCGCCCACTCACTGCCTGACCCTACACAAGGGCCAAGTGATTGTCAATAAGCAACATCTCGAGACTCATCCCAAATTTGTGTTGGAACACAGAAAAGCTCAAGAACTGAACACATTTTTCCCATAAGAAGGAACAGAAAACCAAATCACTAGCTCTAAGGCCCCAAATTACACTTCTAAACTCCTTTTTCCAGGACTTAAACAAATTTCAGAATGACTTCTTTCTTGATCATGGTCTTAGTTTCCCTCTTAGCTTTACTGCTGGGACCACTGACTTTCTTTGGAGCTGTGGTTACGGCATCTACACAGATAAAGCACAGGGGCCAGTGCTTTAACGCACTAACTCAGCACTCTATGAAGCGACATCCCTTCGTGACCACAGCGAGACGCCATGCGTGCCTCACTCTGACCCGCATGGGTTTTTTTCAAGTCAGATTTCTGGTCTGACTGTCCAGCAAAGTTACGAACACCAAGCAGGTTTCTCTTGACTTTGCTGTTCAAGTAGTGAGAGTTCGACGACCATGGTGCTCTATCACTGTACAGTATAATAAAGTAAGGATGCACACAGACATACAGGGTGCACCTCAATGCCGAGCCAAAGGGCTTCCAGAGGGGGGAAGCAGGGCAGACAGCAGACACTCACTTGTTATGGTAATGAATGGTACCAGAGAGGGCGCGCACGCAGATCCGGCAGCAAGTCAGGTGCACCACCTCGCTCAGCCGGGTCTTGAGGCTGCAGGAGAAAGAAGAACCCATCTCACTGTGCAGCTCTGGGCACACCTATGAGGCAATACAGCCCGTGCCTGGTGCGCTCAGGCACAGCTGAGCAAGCACAGTTAGGTTCTTAGTCTCACCAAAGCGTGTGGCATTAGATGGCAAACACTCGGCACCAGAACTGGACAAAACTCTAAGGAAGCAGCCGTAGCTTTGCTGCTTGACCACAGGCTCCTGACCACATGAACCATGTGCTTTTTTTTTTTTTTTTGGTCTTTTTGAGACAGGGTCTCACTATGCAGTTCAAGCTGGCCTTGAGCTCACTTTGTAGCCCAGGCTGGTCTCGAACTTGCAGAGATCCTCCTGCCTCAACCTCCCAAGTGCTGGGATTATAGGCGTGTGTCACCATGCCAGCAAGCCATGTGTCTATGACCTTGGCTTCTGACCCCACCAATGCATACAAGACTACTTCTTTCCTTTGAATTCTTTGGTCCATTTTTTTTCCTCTGTATTTCTCTTTTGAAAAAATGACTTCTTTCAATTTTTAGGGAAGCATGATTTTTTTTGTTGTTGTTGCTTTTTTCTCTGGTACCAGGAATCAAACTCACAACGTCGCGCTTGCCAGGCAGGAGCTGTGCCGCTGAGCTAAATCCCCAGCCCCCTAGGGAAGTATGATGGAAAATCAAAGACTACGAAGATGAAGTGCGCAGAGCTCTAATAAGTGAGTTGAGACCGTACACCGACATAGTATGTAGAAAATAAGTACTCTATGAGAGGGAGATTTAATGCACAATGTAGGAAGGAAGGCAGGATGTAGGAACTAAACAGATATCCTCTTTGCTAGGAAAAAGGACATCTACTTATGGATGGACAGAGAGAGCCATTTCACCTGCTGTCTGGCAGCTGCCCAACCAGGGTCGTCCCTAGAACCAGCAGACTGATCCCAATGAAAGCCAGGGTAACCCTGAAAAAGAAAAGAGAAAGTCACGCACAAATTTGTTCACTGGGAGGGAAATAGCCTAAAGAGAAACAACCGAGAGTCCTCAATAATTAAAATGCAGATAAAGTTGCATAATATCCATCTTATGAAATATGATATAGCTACTAAAAACTTTGGTAAATCTACAGATTCTTTTTTTTTTTTTTTTTTT